AGCCACTGCGCCTCCCCTGGCTTAACTGATGTCTTATAATTGATCTAATTGTTTTGAAAAGGCTCAATCTCTTATTCCAAACTATAGCAAAAAACAAATATTTGCATTAATAAAAAAAGGAAAAGAAAATGCAGTTTAAAAGATTACTATTCGTTTTAAATTATGTCTAACTTATAATGCATACTAAATAGATTTTTTCTCTTAAAAAAATGTTACACATTTGTTTGTGCGTAAATATAGTACTTAGTATAACAGAACTTACATAACTTAACTCTTTCTCTCCGTAATTATTTACGAGATTCTGGTGGAATCAACGCTGGTATCGTCAGTTAGGAGAGAAAGAGTTAACAATACAAATATAAAAACAACAAGTTAACTGTTTGTATAAATGTGTTAAAAATATGTAAAACAATTGCCTCCCCTAATAAAGAGCCTCAAGTGTTTGAGTGTTTAATAGTTAATAGTTGTAAAAGTGGTGTATTTTTATGAAAAAGCTGCTTCCGTGCATGAATTAAAAAATTATATTTTTTGCTTTCAGAAAAGAAAAAAGTAATCGTTGCATCAGAACTTTGAATGGTCTAAAATATTGTGATGTCGGATTTTCACTATCTTTTCTAGCTTACGAGATCTATCTAAACGGGACGGACGGACAGACATTTCACACAAATATAATAATTTAATATAGTATATACCGGTAATAATAATAATTTTTTTTTAAAGTTTATTAACTATTGGTGATTAATTATTTCGTTTGGTATCTCGAACAAGGGAAAGGTATACGGCGGAATAAGTTGAATTAGTCCCCTTTTATATTTTGTAGATAGAAAAGTTTGAAACTAGCATTAGATAACTATAAAGCCTTCTATTATCATAATTACTTTCACATCTTTAAATTCCCCAAATGAAAAAAAAAATATGTTTCTTTGCTTGTTTACTATCTAATGTTATTCTAAAATCTACATGATAGTAGAACAATGAAAATAAGATGTTCTTACTTTAAAGAACAAAAAGCAGGAAACAATGTATTACAATCAACAGTTGAATTAACATGGAGGGAAAAAAACAAAAGAAAGAATGGGAACCAAATGTCACAATCCAAGCACCGTCACCACCATTGCAATAAACCTGATAAAAGCAGTTCCTTACATCAAAGCCGTCCAAGCCGATTGTACACTGACTCTAGCTGAAAACACGGGTTAATGTTAAGAAGTTAATATAAAGTCTGATATGACGTTTAGGATAGTTTAACCTTTTTATTTATACGAAATAACAGTTGTTGTTTTTTTCGCTTTGTTGTCACCACTGAGGGCTCATGTAAGGAGGCAGGCCACAATTGGTCATTAGTCATGGGCCCAGGTGTAATGAAATGCCTACGCGTCATGCAGTGCCGTTTTTAGAGTTGAAACGTCCTAAATTTATTTGAGATATGGGGCCCCATAAAAGTGCAGATATTGTATGTAAGTACAAAATCTTTCTGGCTAAACTGTAGCTTATGTTGCATATATGTAAGTATGGCCCTGGCCCAATGGTTGTTACGCCATCGTGAGCCCCTAAATTGTCGTGGGCCCGGGTTTATTGAACCCCTACGCGCCATGGATGCTACGCCACTGCAATAGAGATGATTGTGTATTATCTATTTTGGAGTTGTTTTTTTTTTTTTTTTTTTGCATTTACTAAAATTTATATTAAATCATAAAAATTAATCGTTTTCTAAATTTTATAATTAATTTTACCATTTATCGTCGGGAAAATATAATATTGTAGCCAGTAGCGTCACGGGGGGGGGGGGGGGGTGCGGGGGGTGCTGTCTGCACTGGGTGGCTACCACGTATTTTCATTACAGTTATCAATAAACGTTTGAATATAACCCAATATTATTATTATTATTATTGTCATTTAAAGACTTCGTATCATTTTCTAATAAGGACCTTTTAAAATATATACCGTATTATTGACATATATCAATATCGATTTAAAACTTTTGAAGAAGACATTTCAAAATGACTCCGCTTACGTGATTCTACTCGAATGGTCAAAATTCTCTCAAGTTTTTTTTACATCGTTAAGTTGACGACCTTTGTGTGACAAAAACTAAAACGTTCGCGGTAATGATTATTACTAAACACAAAGATTACCTATATCATGTAACTATATGTAACTCAAACATCCCTAGCCTAATAGTATTGGCCAATGATACCTCCTTTTTTAGTAGACATAATTTAGGCGACCTTAATATTTTTTTTTACTAGGAAGAATAGTGCGCGCAGATTCCAAGAAAATACTTAATCATCAGAACGCCCCAGTCCGTTATACTTTAACATTGACATGGGCTCTTGTTACTACGGGAAGAAAAATGCGCCACAGAAAGAATTTATGAAGCTCAGAACGCAGGAAAACGCTTGGCGGAGCTAACAGCGCTTACCCAGAATACCTTGCTGGATGGATAGGGAACCTGATGCCTCTCTAATGCTATCTCCAGAAATAAATTTTAGGTTATACAAAAAAATTAAAAACCATCTAGAAAACACTATTTCTGAAAAGTAAAAGACTTAACGTTTAACGGAGCGCCAACGGTAAAAGTTTGAGAAACACTGCTCATTAGATGTCTCTCAAACTTCAGAAGTTTATATTCGGCCAGTCCTACCGTTTCTTAATTTAACTCTTGCTCTCCGTAATTATTTTTCCCGTTTCGATAGTATTATTCATTTTGCTCATTGGTATTTCACTATCCGGTTCTGATTAAACTTCAATAACTTTTGTGTTTGTTATCAGAAAAATGTTTTATTTGGTATCGAATTATAGGAGAATGCATGATCTTTTTACACAACCATTAAAGTTTTTAACTCCAAAATCAATTTAGTTTAATGGGGGTCAAGTTGGCATCGTCAATAAGAAGAGAAAGAGTTAATGTGACCTTCAAATTTTCTTATGTGAGAACTAATACAATCTAGACTTAAGGAAAATGAGTTTCTGAAGCTCATAAATGTAAAAAAAAAAAAAAAGGCATTAGGGAGCTTTAAGCGCTACCACAGACAAATTGCTGAACAAAGGGGCCGGCAAACGTACATGTTCTAGATTAGATGGTAGAGTCGAAGTTTGAACAACACACAGCACATAATGTTATATCGTTTTCGTCTAAAAGTCTAACAAAGGAAACATGTTCAGATGATGTTAATTCTGTTTCCAATTTTAATAAATTTGCATTGTAAAATATGCAATAACTATTGAATACATGTCTCGTAAACGATGGAATTTTATACTAGAATTGACACTCATTTAACATTATTTGAGCAACAATCAATGAAATTAGGTAATTAGCTCACTGTATTGGTTCAAAAAAAAAAAAAAAAAAAGAACAAACTAGCGATTAGTGATAAATGGGACATTTTAGAGAGAGTTGAGGGGTGTCCACCCTGATCTAACCGCACCGGGTGACACCGAGTCACCGACCCTAGTGACGCCAGTGATTATAGCTACTGAATTATTTTTGATTTGTTATTATAATCTCTTTATCCATAAAGATACAAATGCATTTATTATCGCACTAGCCGTTATAGATAATGAGCTTGAAAGTAAGCTTCTGGATCACGTACAAGAATGATGGAAACATAGATCTATATCTAGATCTAGGTCCTATGTAGATCTATAAGGATCGTCTTCATAATCAATACAATTAATATGAATAAGATTTTTTAAAAGTCAGTAGATCTAGATTATCACAAAAAGTAGCAAGGAAAGAAATCTATCTTGTGGCACTGTTTAGTTTAAGACTTTTTTTAATTGATTATGTTTATGTTGTTTTAAGTAGATAGGGCCTATTTTAAAAGCATTATAATACTCATTGACTAGCTGATTCAAAGAACTCTGCCACTTCTATTAACACGTTTTTTTTCCCGCTTAAAATGTCGAAAACCGGCGTTGATTTAAATTTTTAAAACTTCATTTCTCTTTTTAATTATCTATTTTTTTTAAAAAACTAAAAACTGCGCATGGACCTCATTCATGATAATATTGATAAAACAATGGGGGAAAAACGTATCACGTGACAGCCTTTCAAGAATTACGTTATTGTATAGAAGAGAGAGAATCACGTGGCTAAATGTTGTTTGTTTACGTTTGGTGAATGAGGTCCATTGATTTTAATTCACCCCCCCCCCAAGTAATAACCAACATTTAGAAAACGTTTGGATTTTTTTTTAAAGAGCTAACATTTTTCCAGATCAATTTATTTTGACCTAGATTTAGTTAATCAGAATGTTGAAAGATATAATAAAACATTTACAGAATCTATAAGTCGCTCAGAACAGATTCAACGTACAATCCCTTTATGCCACATATGTAAAGTAGGCCAACTCCTTTCAGGACTACCGATCTATAGATGTTGTAAAGGGTAAAGGTCAGCATAATGACCAACTCCTTTACTTTCCCCAACTAATGCCAGTTACCATCATAGTTGAGTGGACTCAGAAAAAAATAATTCCGAAATTCAAAATACCTCATCACCAAAGACCCATCTGTTCGGAAGCTAAGCGCTTCACTCAGCAAGTGGGTGTAATGTTAATATTAATAGATAGATATTGACATGGCCTCCTTCAGTCGCGAAGCGACTATTGATCAATATTGATCACCTCATGGAAATGATATGAAAAGTTGTGCATTAGATGTCGAAACTATGTCCGTATACAGCAGTTCCCCCCCACCTTCATTGCAGCTGATGTGACCAAAGGAACGGCAGGTACCTTTAGGCCTACTGTTTTGGAGTCAGTGGTGTTTCTGGTTTTGACAGGACAATGACAATTGTGCAAAGTTTCAACTTGATCCTAGAATGGGATGTGTGAGAAATAACATGTACAAGAATTGTACCACACAGACTGAAAGAGAGTTGATATAAGCTTTGTAGAAATGCATTCAAGTTTAGAAATACAACTTAATGACTAAAAATTAATAATTTTGTGACTGTTGTCATCACTAATTAAAATTATATAAAAAACAAACACTATATTTTCAGATTAATAAATTGCTTTTTTTTTCTTCTGCAAAAAAAATAATGTTAAATCAGTATAAAGTAAAAGATCACATGAATCTCAAATAGATGTTTCTTTTAAAATTGAAATGGATATCTAAAAGCCTTGTAATTGAGAGTCAGAACGGGGGTTACATGAAAAACAAATACACAGACATACAGTGAATTTTCAGTGGATAAAGTAGTTTGGTACTAGAGCAACATCTATTTTAACAAGTTCTGTATTGGTCGGGCATGGGAACGGTTTAATCCTCAGAATTTCATTACAATTTATGAATTGAATAGTTCAGAAGACAGTACTTAGCAATATGATGTAGAATCTAGATGTAGATGTATATAAATGGCCATGCGCACAGTATACCCTTACATTTAAGTCTGATAACATGTGAAACACTTAAGTCTGCTTCACTTCACCATTATAGGACTAAAAAAAAACCCAAGCCTTTATGTTTGAGAAAAAACAAAAGAATGGATAGTAACACAAGAGAGTATTTACAAAAACAACTACTTAAGTTACTAAACTATAAAACACTTCTTAATTACATTCAGAAATTGAGATGTACTGTAGATATGTTTGCATTAAAAATGTGCAAGGATAAAGGCTTGAAATAAAAACAAAATTAATTGCCCTTCTAGGAACTAAATTTAAAGAACCATTTAATAGTAATATGCAATACTGTTAGCTACAAATACTCTCTAAAAATTAACTCATCAGTACACTTTTCTATTATCAGGTTTAGAAACTTAATTAAATTTAAAAAAATGGCTTAACACACTTTTCTAACAAAATTGCCTAAGCGTCCACTATTTTTAGAATACAACTTTTAATCAATGGACAAAATACACATTTAAAAAAAAATAAATCTATAACAAGTTAGAATAAAACTATGTTATACTATTCATTTAAGATACATACTTTGATTTTTAGCACTCAAATAATTTAAATAATTAGTTTCATGTGTATTTTAGGCCTACTATGCCAGATCAAAGGCACTATTTAGTTGAACTTATTTGGAAAGTAAGAAAGTATTAGGATAAATGAGAGGACACAATGAGTTTGTTGAAAACATATTAATTGTTTTGTTTTTTTAATTAACATTTTTTAATTTCATTTAGTAAATTTTGAAATTCAACTTTACCAAAACCAATAAAACTAAAGACAAACCCGTAGTTAAATAATAATAGTTCAATATTAATTGATTATACCCAGATACACCTCAAATAACCAAAGACAACGATGTATCTTTGTTAATGCCTTAGCTATTTTTCAAACTTTAATTCAGACTTAAACAAATCAGTTCTAAAATAATCCAGCGTACAATCACACTTGCTGTGATCACAATTTTTCTCTTTTAAAAGTAATCTTTCTCTTCCTGCTTATTTTTAACTTATCTTCAAAACAAATTTAATTAAACTTTTAAGTAAACAGAACATTTTTTAAAAATCTTCCTTACATCAAAACTTTGTATCCATGATCTATAACATACATTTATACAGCACACTTAAAAATGAATTGTTCACAAAAAATATAAATAAATAAAACATGGCCTCTATTATTAAATTCATTAAACAGCTCAGCCAGTTGTTCCCACAATTCAACCTAGCTGAGTGTATTTATTTGTTTAACAAAATGATGTTATGATAACAAATTCAACTAAGGTGCCAGAATGAGAAAAAATCTCTAAGAACTACGCAACTACCATACAATCATGTGACTTATGTTTTATGAGGAAGAGAAGACAACTTTTGTAAGTTGTTTATCATTTAAGTCCCTTTGAAGCTAGAAATAAAATCTCTAATGAAAGCCAATTTACAAATGCAATGCTTGAAAATTAGTCACAAATTTTTAAATAAAAAGAGAAATAAAAAGAGAAACAAAAAGTCATATGATCATGAAATCAATCATTTATGAAGACTTACTTATCACCTAAGAAAGAGTCGATATATCATAGTTCTGTTTTTTTTAAGATGTGAATAAATCAAAATGTATAAATGTTAGTACAAAACTTGTTCGTATGGGACTAGTGGCCAGTTTGTAATTTTTTTTCTTTACATAATTTAAGATGCCTACACCTCTTAAAATGCTGAAGCAAGTGGCAGATGACACTATAGGTTGAGAAGGCATGCTGACTAATACACTCAGATTGAAGATCTGGCTAAAAAATCTATTTAGTCTTTAGAAAGCCAATTTTGATGTTTTGACAATGCTAATGCTACACTAGCCTATAAATCAAAAACACCCCACAAGTAAAAGCATCTTTTATATTTCTATTTTAAAATATATATCCTGTATAATGTATATAAAAAAACAATGTCATAGTGATAGTGTGAGATTATACAGAACAAAAAACATTTGTGTGTCTTTGTAAATCAAACTAAAAATAAAAACAACCAGTGTCACCACCTATATGCATTGGTCAAATGTTAGCAAAATCAAATGTAAAAAAAAAATGTATGTAAATATAACAATGGATTATTAGCATTTCAGTAAACAATATATAGATATAAAAAATTAGGAATAAAAACTGAGAAAGAATTATTTGCGTTATTCAATGTACATGATCCATTTATTCATTTTCTTGTATAAAAAAAAAATAATACAATTGTGACAAAATATGATATTGGATAGCTAGTTAACTTTTTTTCTTGACATTTTGATATGGTACTCTAGTAAGAATAGGTATGTTTTAACTAGATAAATGTATCTTAGAATTCATGAGATCAAATATAGCTATATTTTTTCACTTCAGAATGATTTATAACAACAGAGTTTCTTTCACTCAATTTCTTACTTCTTACTCTAGGGAGGATGTAGACATTGGAAAGCCATAATTTGTGTGTTTCACTTCAAATTGTGCAGAAAAATTTTTTATTTGTAAGCACAGGTTCAATTGTAAGTTAATTTTGTTCATTCAATGTTATGCATTTTAATCATAATTGCTGTCACCTCATTTGAATCAAAATTATCATAATTGATATAAAAATTATTGCCTATCTTATTGGTGCAATGTCACACCATCATAAATAATGTGGTTTAGCCAGAAATAATTAAAATTTTGTAGCAAATGTTTTCTTTTTTTTCATCTTCAGACTGAGTTTGCTAAAACAAGTAGGAGAAGGGCAATAGTGTTAGAAGAAATGACTTCTATCTTTAGTTTTCATGATATAAAAATCCTTAGTGAAAGACATGTTTTATATATTTGATAAAAGACAAAATTTGATGACAAAATTTAGATATTTTTTAAACCCAAGGCATATCTCAAATATAAATCCATATTAGTATTCATTCACCTTTTCAAAATATTTAAAGACATTTTGAAATTTTAATTTCTTTTTTAGAAACAAAAAAGGCAGTAAATTTGTAAACATTTTATCAAAGGCATTGCTTGATGGTTGAAGTCAAACTAATCAATCACTACAAACATATCTCATTTGAAATATAAAACAAAAAATGTATTGCTAAGATGATATTGGGAATGACCTCCATTCCCCAATGACATTTCACTAATACTAGTTTTATAATCTCTTGTTGAGAGGTACTAGAAGCAATCAACAAAGCTGCTTTAGACTGAATAAGCATATTTGTTTATTAAAGATTCAGACACTGAAAGTTTGTGATTTTCAGTTCACAGAAACTAGCTCAAGAGGATTAGTTTCTTAGTTTATACTTCTGCCTTTTTTAACAAATGTTGCTTGTCATGTATGATGTATCACGTGGTCATGGTTTTTTTTTTCTGGATGACACAAGTCATAGGGTCATGGTCACTTCATCAATTGAATTATCATTTTAGCAATAGGACAAGAATGCTTTCACTTTTAATTGTTATAAGTTGCTCCGATTCAAAAAGCTTTTCAGGGACTAGCCTTTAATTAACTATAAATTCTTTTGAAAAAAACAACAACAATATTATTATTTTTTAAAAAATGCTAGCCAAATTAGCAAAGGAAATAAATGTGAGGTCTACAATAGAAACCATTTCTCTGCAATGCTAAACTTGATCTTAAAAATGCAAACTAGGTTCTAGTCAGTTAGATATTGTATCTGGTTCAGGAATGAAAGCAAACAGAAGATAACCAATGTCTCCAAATTTTGGTACAACTTTTTGAAGATCATCTGGTAAACAGTCACAGAATGTCTTTTATTATTGCCACTTTGTGCAGCACAAGTAATACTGAGATCAGAATAAAAATATTTTTTTTTATGTAGCTTACTGAATGTCCTTGACTTTTATGTTGACATATTTCAATGTTACAGTGGCATAAGGGTGAGCCGATTCTGAAAAAGAAATATGTGTACAATTAACTCTTTCAGTGCGGCGTTACTCTCAGCGAGTAACTTCACTAGCGCTTGTCAGTGCGGCGTTACTCTCAGCGAGTAACTAGGTTTATAAAATTTATTTCACTATCTTTTTTATGTTAAACTTATTTATTTCTCTCTTTTTTTAAAAAATTTCCGGATGTGGGAGTGATTGTTCTTTGTTTTGGTAGTAAATTCGATACAGTACCAACACGTTTTTTTTTAAAAAGCCAACACTGTGTTTATGGTTCCTCTTTTTTAGTTTATTTCCCGGGACCCAAAAAATGTAAATAATACAATTTCTTAGTGCATTCGTTCATCTTTTATGAAATTGAAAGTGATTAAATGTGTTTAGTTTTTTTATTTTCTCAATAACTATGGATCAAATGTTTATTTAAAAGGTTTAATCTTTCAGTAAATTGATTTTTAAACTAATTTTGCATATAAATCTATTTCCTTTTTCCATGCTCAGTTTAAAATTAATGAAAAAAAAAGTTTCTTGAATAACTAATTTTATTTATACATTTGTAGCCTATTCATTTTCCTTTAAAATCAAATCAAATATGTTAGTTTAATTAGTAAAATAAAAAAGTTATGTTAGTTTTAGTAACACTACCCCCTGGAAAATTTGTGGTCATCCCGGAAAACTCCATTTTTTTAAATCAAAATAATTCGGACTAAAAGAGTTAAATAATGTGAACATTTAACAAAATCAAGCATACAAGTGATAAAGATGAAGAAATATTCAAGTTTTGACCAAATACTAAGCATCTAAGATTTCTTTGCATGACAAAGGGTTTGTTTACAACAGGGGAAACTTGTGTTTAATAGCCAGCAGAATTAAAAACTTGGCTCCACCTTAACACTACCATTTTGATGTCCATGTATGGTTCGAGATGACCGCATCCCTTTTATGAACCATGCGACCTGGGAAAGGATTTTATCCCGTGGCCAGGATGAGAAATTGGCTCTTCACCAACCCCTCTGTCTGCAGTCCCCTTAACCAGATGATCATTTAATCACATTTGTTTCATCATGGGACACAGTCCCTTGAGCCAATGACATGAGTTCCTCCTCTCATGCGAGGCCGGCCTCCATATGCCTATAAAAAGCCACTGCCCCAGTGGGAGGACCATCACCACCCGTAGGGCCTTCATTTGGGAATGAAGCAATGGGTTTCGGACTGGTTAGCAAGCCTTTCTCACATCCCCACCACGTGCAGATACACTCGCTGGAGCATACAGTGGTAGCTCACTGGGAGCCATGTTTGCTCTCGTTCTTAGCCTTTACGCTTCCCCAGGCAGATGTTTCCACCAAGGTGCCACACTGAGGCAATGAAAGCTGGAATCCTCTGCCTTAACACTACCAAACTGGTGGACCGCTTTTTCTGTAACTTCCAAAATGGCCACTATGCCAGTGGACAAAGGGGACAGTCTGTTTCAGGGGCTCAGGGCTGGTAGGATTAAATTGGAGCAGCTTAGGAAAATAAGCACTACTTTCAAAACTTCTCTTCCCCAGGATTAACTTTCTAGCTTTAACCACTTACTCCATCAATACTGTCCAGAGTTAGCAAGATGTCATCGTCACTAAGATCCAAGCTATCGTCAGATTGGTTGACAGAGGTCAGAAGTTGCTCATCAGCCTCGCTTTGTATGCCTGAGGCTCTGGTTCTGAGTAAAGAAGTCAATGGCCTGGTGTAGGTGCCCTGTGATTCCTCATGGACCAACTCGCTCTGTTGCTGGACAAAATTGATAAACACCTGAAAGAAAGACAATGCATAAAGAAGCTATTTAGGTGCACAAGACAAGCGTAACAAAAAATTACACCTCTGACTAATAAACACAAAGGATCTGTAAAAATAATTGTTTTTTTGTGATGCAGTTTAACAAACAAGAAAAAACATTTATTATGCTTTAAAAAAACAACAAAGCTTAAATTCAGTGTAATTGTATCAATTTGGATCAGTCATATAATTTAATTTGTAATAAATCTACACAAACAATAATAAATCTGTGCAATTACAAATATTTTAACCAATTGTTTTTGTTTAGGGCAATTTCATGCTTTTAGCTTTCTCAATGCGCTATGGTCCTATTACTTGGTCTTAATCAGTTGAGAAAGGATGGATGGGGGGGGGGGGGGGGGGGGGGGGGGGGGAAGAAGGAGGTATCTGTGTGAATGTTACTGTGATCATTTTTTAAATTCATTTAAAAACAAACTTGTTCACTCAGGGCTCAAGCTTCCTCAAGGGAACTAATTCAACTTATACCACCAAATCTGTCAATACTAGACAAAATAATTAATTACCAATAATTGATTAACTAATTGTTGTTTGTTTTTTTAAATTTTGTTTGTCAACAAGAAATAATTGTGCAAAATTTCAACTTAATCTGAGATTGGTTGTAAGAGAAATAATTTGTGCAAAATTTTTACTAAACAGACTGAGTTGATATCAACTTTGTAAAAAAAAAACAATAACAAACAAACAAGCTAAAATAAAAAGTAAACATTATATATAAGAGTTTGGAAAAATAACCTTGACTCAACCAACAACATGCATGCAATATTGTTAATAAGTCATTAGGTTGAATTTCACTGAACTTCAAATCATGTCTCCACCAAGATTTGAACCCGAGACCTCT